AAATATGAATTGATCGTCACTACCTCAATCTTCTCTCCTTTTGTGTCTTTTCAGTACTTTAGTCTGTTGTTTTCTCATTATCTCCCCCTGCACTTTGGGCAATACCATTTCCTCTTTGTTTTATAAGTTCTCTCATTTCCCCCGAAGAAATGTGGTTACATAAATGATGTATAGGTCATTGGGATCTAGTGCAAATTCAGTAGGCGAGGCTTATCTTTCCTGCATGACCTTAGAGCATTTCTTTTTCTTGGCTGACTTGGATTTTCTTTCTTTAGGTGACTGATCATCACAGTCTTGATCCCATTTGTCTGTAACATAAATCATGACTTTCACTGGTTCTCTACCTATGGGATCTTCTTGAAGCTCTTTCTGGCTGGCTAGAATCCATTTTTGTTTCTGCTGAGGCTCATTCACTTTCAGCATGATCTTGGAGAGACTGTAAATGTAACTCCATTTGTCTTTCTCAATTTTCCATTAATTCAAGCATTTGTGTGATGATCTGAATTTTTTTCATCTCCTAATTCTTGTACATTGATTAATGCTCTCTGAACATGCTGCAATAGGTATTTTTTCTGGTTTGAATCATCTTCATTATTCTATTTTTTCATAGACATAAATTTTCTTTAATGTTTATATAGCTGGGGTCAATGACAGTCCCAGCTGAAGCATCCCCCTCTTGATTCATTGGGTGGCAGAGAGAATTGAAACATATAGCAAACAAGTTTCCAACCCCACTAACACCCTGCTAACATCCTGCATATTCTGGCTTCCTCCTAAACAGCCAGCACCATCTATGTAAGCAGTTGTTATTTCTGAAGTTTGCTCAAAACACATTCTTTTATTTTATCCTAAGTAGGTTTATTGTATAATTTAATCCAATTCCCTTTGTATTAAACACTGTTCAATACTTTTGGAAATAGCTTACTTAATACCTTTCCACTTTAGGATTTATTCAAGAAGTATTCAGATGTCTGCTCTATGTAGGGCACTGTGTTAGATTCTGTGGGAGTTGCAAAGATGATTTAAATACATATCTTTCTCCTGAGCATCTTTAAATTTTAGAAGGAGGAAGTATAGCTAGAATGATAGAATGCAGTATGATTTTCAGAGGAGAAAGATAACTTCATACTTGGTAGAGTTGTATGATATTTAATTTTATGTGTCAGTGGGCCACAGTGCCTTATAACAGATGTTACAAAGAAGACAGATCAGGCATTCTCCATATTTCTGAGAAGATATTTTTTGGATAAGATTAGTGTTTAAATGTGTAGGTTTTGAGTAATAAAATGTTGACGGGCCTCCACTAAACCCTTAAATGCTGTAATAGAACAAGCTGGTGCTGTGTCCCACACCTATAATCTCAGTTGCTCAGGAGGCTGAGGCAGGAGGATCCAGCCTCAGCAACTAAGCAAGGCCCTAAGCAACCTACCAAGCCTCTGTCTCTAAATAAAATATAAAAATGGCTAGAGATGTTGTTCAGTGGTTAAGTACCCCTGGGCTCAATCTCCTGTACCTTAAAAGGTGGAGGAGAACTTTAATAGAACAAAGACTGACCTCCTGTGAGCAAGAAGGAATGTTACCAGCCTACTGTCGATTTTTGGATTTTACCACGTCTTTTGGAATAACACATACTCTATTTTTCCTCTGCTTTTACACCACAATCAACAAAAGGCTTTCATGATCCTAACAACCTAGAGATTTTCTTCCTTCCATCAAGCAAGCAGCTCTGTAAAAGCAGACACAAGCTGGATTTAATTTAATTCTGACACTATCTACTATTTAATTCTGTGGAAATAGCACTCACAGTTTAAGGGCTTAGTCCCAAACTCCAGGTTTTACCTTTGCTTCTTCTGTCCAGTTGTAAATTGGGGTTTCCACTCCTTCCTTGGGTTTGATAATTTGCTTGAGTGGCCCACAGAACTCATCTATTGGTTTATTATATCAGATGTTACAAAGAAGACAGATAAAGAGATGTATAGGTAAAGTATGGGAAAAGGGACATGGAGCTTTTCATGCCCTCTGGATATACCATCCTCTAGGAAAACCTACATGTGTTCAGCTACCTAGAAGCTCTATAGCCTTGTCCTTTGGGGTGTTTTATGGAGACTTCATTGCATAGGCATGATTAAAGCATGGGCAGCTGTATCAAAATGAGATTAAACAAAAAGAGTATTGTCTGATGCCAGTAGGTTGGATGAGAAAAACAAGCAAGGTCTGTGGTTCCAACAATCTGCTTAGCCTCTCAGTGCAGCAGTGTTCAGGGCAGGACCCCCCTGGAATGAGGTAGGTCTCAGACAGGGTAGGTCAAAAGGATTAAGGGCAGGGGAACATTAGGGATTTATTTATTTATTTATTCATTCATTCATTCATTTATTTTTAGTTGTAGTTGTGTGCAATACCTTTATTTTATTTATTTATTTTTAAGTGGTACTAAGGATCGAACCCAGCATCTCGCACGTGCTATGCGAGTGCTCTACCATTGAGCCACAACCCCAGCCCCTCTCTGACCTCTTTGAGGGGAGAGAAATTCTAGTTTCTGGGCCTGCCTTGGGAAGGTTTTCTTCAAAGATGTTTTGGGAAATACACCCTTAATTTCAAATCCATTTACTAGCTTTTGTGGGGAGGGATATGCTGGAGAGCAAACCTAGGGCCTTCAGCATGCTGAGCATGTGCTCTACCACTGAGCTACATCCCCAGCCCCTATCAAAAAAAATTTTTTTTAAATCAAGTGACTCCCTATTTAACATGATAAAGTATATGTTTATAAACTTGTGGTTTTTGTGTTTTAATTTCCCAGTTTTTGTTAAAATGCTATGTAATAGCATTATTATTTTGTCACACTTTGTAGCCCTTTCCGTAACTACTAAATTTACATTCTGTTCTAGAGCCATAATAAATCATCATGTACAATTACATGCGTGAATGAGTTTATTAGCCATTTCCTATATTTTGGGGGGATGGTGCAGGGTGCTGGTGATTGAACCCTGAGCCTTGAGCATATTATATGTGCTCCACTGCTGAGCTTCGTTCTCAGCCCCATATCTCATGTTTTTAATATTTTCTCTTATTCTGTTGTCACTAGGTCATTGGTTAATTCTTGGATCTTCATAACTATCACCTCTTGTTTTTATTACTGTACTACCTTTTACTTTTTCTTCACATTTTTTGCTTGTTCTTCAAATTATTCTTTTAGTGACTTGATATTACTGCATTGACTTGTTTGTTTTATTTTCCCCAATACTGGGGATTAAGCCCAGAGGTATATCCCCAATCCTTTTTATTTTGAGACAGTCTTTTAATAAGTTGCCTAGACTGACCTTGAACTTGTGATCCTCCTTCCTCAGCTACCTAAGCAGCCAAGATTCAGGTGTGCACCACCAGGCCCAACCTGTTACTTGTTCTTGATGCATATATTGTGCTGTTACTTTGCTGCTATAAATATTAGTCCTGAATATTTTTCATGTATCTTTGAAGACCATGTTTTATTTCTGTTATTGTTTTTTTCTTCACTCCTTATTCATTGCTTCTTTTACTTCTCTTTTCTCCGCTTCTTTTCATCTATCTCTTCTGTAAAAATTTTCTCAATTCCATACCCTTTATAATTTTTTTCCTTACACATTCCAATATAAGCTGCTTGCCTGAATATGGAATACAGATTCTTTTCTAATTCATTCTGAATTTACTTGGATATAGTTTGAATGGTTTGGTTAGGCCTTAGAAGACCTAATAGAACTTCTCTGTGATTTTTGTACAAGAGCCATTGATTTTTCTCTCTGCTCCAGAATGAGGCTGAATTAGATTATTTGTTACTGTCTTAGCCCACTTTTCTTCAGCCTCCTTGTCACTTCCTCCTGACTGCTTAAAGATTGTTTGGCCATTAGGAGAAGGGGAGCTCTACTGGGGCATTCAACACCTTTTCACTTATGACACCTACATCCCAGTCCCCTTCTACTAAGTTAGGGAATAGTAGTGAAGATTTCTCCAGACTTAGAGTGGACAGGGAGTATGCTACATGTGGATTCTGGGCTTGGTCTTCCAGATTGGACTAATTCAGTCTGTATTTGAATGATTTGGGAAGGGGAGCAATACTGGGGATTAAACCCAGGGCCTTCCATGTAATAGATAACTGCTCTACCACTGAGCTACATCCAGTCCTTTTTGTTTTTTTATTTTGTGACAGGGTCTCACTAAGCTGCCAAGGCTGATCTGGAACTAGTAATGCTCCTGCCTCAGCCCTCCCGACTTGCTGGGATTACAGGCATGTGCCACTGCACCTGCTTGGATACATTTTTCAGAATTCTTAAAGGCAGTGAACCTGAAAATTAAATAATCATTAGAGACTCAGGGGGTTGGTTTAATATGCGTTTTTCTGGACTCTGTCTCCAGAATGTCTAATTTTGTCAAAATCTTTATTTACAGCCAGTTTACCCTGTTGCAGGTGGTCCACAGTTTAACTTTGAGTAATGCTCAAAATAATATGTCTTAATAATGCAGTAGATATTTTAGGTAACTCTGGAGTTTCAGGCTGTCCCATGAGGCTGAATAACTGACAGTTGCTCATTCTAGCTTCCAGAGAACTTTTTGCTAACCAAGTAATTGTTACCTTCAAAAAAAAAAAAAAAAAAACAGGACTTTGTAGGCTGGAAAAATCTTTGTTGCCACCCCTTCCCTAACCAAGAAGTATGACATAAGTTTGAAAATAATTATTTTGCTGAATGGGGACATTAAATCAGCAGTGCAAGGAAGGACATTTAAATACCTTTCCATAGTTACCAGAAATATAGGTAAATATAAACGTAGGAAGAACACAACCTCATAATTCTGATAATCTTTTAAATCAAGTACATTTAGCTTAAGCAAAACCCACTGTTGTCCTCTTTAAAAAAAATGATATCTACAAATCAGTGAATACCTTCTGACATGATACATCAAAACTGCCCCACCTGAATGTGTGAATATGATGACTAGTAGTACATCTCATATCTTTATTTTCTCAACAGTTCGATCCTTTGGTACAGAAGACAGACCAACAGATCGTCCTATACCACCTCGAGATGAAGTTTTTGAATATATTATATTCCGTGGGAGTGATATTAAAGATCTCACCGTTTGTGAGCCACCAAAACCACAATGTTCTTTGCCTCAGGACCCAGCTATCGTTCAGGTAACTGATAATAAATTGTCTTGGAATACAAGTAAACTTTGCACACATGCATAATATAACCCTTGATTTGCCTCTGCTAGTTGAATGTATAATTTACCATTTCAAAGTTGCCTGGATACCTAAAAAAATTACCTAGATAATGTTCTTACCTAGATTTTTCTATTTGGATTGTAAATTGGACTAACTAAGAAATAGCTGCAGAATCTATAAAATATTTTTTTAATTTAAACAAGACTAGTGTTACAATGATTAACATTTATTGAAAGCTAACTCTAGAAGATACTCTATTCAAAGCACAAGCACTGTACATAAAATCAGTCCTCATGTACCCTCTGAGTTTGATCCATAATTTTTCTTACTTTTAGAAGTAAGGAAGTTGAGAAAGAATAATTTGAATAGACCCAGGCAATTTGGCTCCAGAATCCAGGGCTCTATAACACTACACTATTCAGATAATGGTTTATATTACAAACTAGGGTGATGATAGCTACTCTTAAGTAAAAATTATTAGGTTTAATGGGAGGAAAATGCCAAGTCACAATATATATTGTATGATGTGCAATGGTATATAATAAGATAGCATAAACATAAAAGGATTTTTTTAACATAGACAAGTTCTTCAATTTCCAAAATAAAAAACAACTCTAGTATTCTCAGAAAAAGAAACTGGAAATTTGCATATTTTATTAAAAATAGAAGCATACATTATGTAAACAATTATAAATTATTAATTAAAGCTATCCATTACAGTATATGTTTACATGTTCATTGAAAACAAAAGCTTTCTGAATTTTGGCCATAAGAAAAGAATATTTAATATTTATTTTTTAGTTGGACACAATACCTTTATTTTGTTTACTTAGTTTTATTTAAGAAAACATTTATATGAGAGCATAGCTGATTAAAAGTTGTGGCTCTCCCATGATTTTTCTTCTGAATTCATTTTCTTCTTGCTTAAGTTTTTGTCACTTAAAATATACTTGTTCAGGGGCTGGGGTTGTGGCTCAGTGGTAGAGCACTCACCTAGCATGTGCAAGGTGCTGGGTTCGATCCTCAGCATCACATAACAATAAATAAAATAAAGATTATTTCCAACTGCAACTAAAAAAATTTTTTTTAATAAAATATACTTGTTCAGTTGTTTGGTTTTTTTTTTTACTTCCAGCTATTAAAGGATAATATCTAATAAACTCTTCTACAGAAAATATAAAATTGAATATGATATTTAAATGAAGAGAGAAAAGGACCTTTTTCTTTATTCACTGTTTATTTATTCACTGTTTTTCCCTTGAATAAAATGTGTTCTTGTAGCATAAACTGAAAAATTCTCCAGTCTTATCTATCCCTCCCTTTTAAAGTTTTCTTCTTAGGGCAAGAAGTGTGATGTAATCTCCAAAAAAAATGTAAATTTTTTAGGTGGAGAAAGAAAAGATACATTCTTTCCTCTGTGTGTGTGTGTGTTTTACTAGGGATTAATGCAAGGGCATTCTACCACTGAGCTACACACCCACACCTCCCCACACCCCCAACTTTTTTGATAGCGTGTAGAACTTGGCAGTCCTCCTGTCTTCTCTTCCCATGTGATACCCTCCCTGTCCAGCCAAGACACAGACACTTTTTTCTTCCTGCCTTTCTTGTCTAGCAGTTGTTCATATGCAAGAGTAAGAATTGTTAGAAAGAATAAACAGTGCTTTAAATACAAATAAAAAGTTCTGGTTCCTAAGGAAAACAATTCTATATAATTCTAAATTAAGTATTTTCTAAATTCCTGTTAAAAAATAGAAGGTTATTTGCATTAAGTTCTATTCCACCATAACCCTTTGAGTACATAAGGATAAATTGGTGAATTCTGTACTTCAAGAAGTCACCAGATAGATGGGAGATGCTTCCCCTCCACTACACATTTTTTTTTAATATTTATTTTTTAGTTGGACACAATACCTTTATTTTGTTTACTTATTTTTATGCGGTTCTGAGAATTCCAGGGCCTTGCACATGCTAGGCTAGTGCACTCCTGCTGAGCCACAACCCCAGCCCCTGCCCCCGCTACACATTCTTTTCTTCTTTTTTTTTTTAATTATTATAAAAGTGTGCTTTATTATAAGGAAAAGTTAAATATAACCAATAATACTGAAAATAACATAACTGGCATTTATAGCCTTGGTCAAATTTCTTTATTAAACAGGCATTTATTTAGTGTTCCATGAATAGTTAACAATCAGCTTATGTGACAAAAGAGATAAATGGAAAAAGTGAATAAAGAATACAGAATGATGAACCAGAAATTTTCTTTTTTTGCTTGTTTAACAGATAAAGTCTTAAATAGAAAACAAGTCATCTTCATATAGCAAGCTCCCTTTCCCTACAAGGTTTCGCAAAAGTGTTGCAAAATAGCTGCCCACATTAAAGACTGGTGTTATTTTATTTATTGTCCCATATATATCTTTTTTAAAATATTTTTTTAGTTGTAGACTGACATAAAATATCTTTGTTTATTAATTTATTTTATATGTGTTGGTGAGGATCAAACCAGTGCCTCACACATGCTAGGCAAGTGCTCTGCCACTGAGCTACAGCCCCAGCCCCCCCCCCCCTTTTTTAAATTTTTTTTTAGTTGTACCATGGATACAATATCTTTATGTTTGTTTATTTATTTTTATGTGGTGCTGAGGATAGAACCCAGGGCTTGCAAGTCAAGCTACAACCCCAACCCTACATATATCTTTGATAATTCTGTAGCAATCAGTTATTTGAGTTAATCAGTTTTAGAGAGGGAGAAAAATGAAGAGAGCACAAATCAAAATGGTGTTGAATAACTTCTTCCAACCATCAGAATCTTCAACTTCATTTTATTCATTCAGCAGTACTTATTGAGTACCTAGCTTACAGTTGATATTAATAGTGAACACAAGATAAAGATCTTCCCATAAATGACCTTATATATTGGGCTGGGGTTGTGGCTCAGTGGTAGAGTGCTCGCCTAGTATGTGTGAGGCACTGGGTTCGATCCTCAGCACCACATAAAAATAAATACATAAAATAAAAGTATTATGTCCATCTACAACTAGAAATAAAAAAAAATGACCTTATATCCAGGAGCCTTCAGTACATTCATATTTACATTATGGAATATTTTATAATAAATTAATAAAATATATATGTATTAAATATATTGTAGGTTTGGTAAGTTAAGGTTTATATAAAAAATCTTCCTCAACTTAATATAATTACCTATAAAAATGTTTTGTGTGGGATATGTTGGTTTCTGCATGTCATTCCTATGAATTTAATAGTAGTCCTCAAATGGTTGAAAATAAAAGGAAAATCACAAGTGAGGTGTATTACTTCTTTCAGTACAGACTGACATCAGTATTACTGAATGCAATTTTTCCTTAAACAAAGTTACTTTACTTACTCACTTTTCATTTATTTTTTCCTAAATCTGCTGTAAAACTCTTAAATCACAGGATGATTTTTTTGTAGAAAAAAGTGTTTGTAATTCCCATTGAGTATAATTGGTACATAATACACAAATATTAAGGGAGGTTGTTCAGCTGTTGTAATACTAAATAAATAAGTCATGGTAATTGCTTTTATACTAGTAGTTATAATTTAATACTTGAAAGTTTTAAAAAACTGAATTTCTCTCCGTTATATTCATGTTGCTTAGGAAAATAACCCATGATTTTCTTTCAGTCCTCACTAGGTTCATCTACTTCTTCATTCCAGTCAGTGGGTTCCTATGGACCTTTTGGCAGGATGCCAACATACAGTCAGTTCAGTCCAAGTTCATTAGTCGGGCAGCAGTTTGGTGCTGTTGGTGTTGGTACGTGATGCTTTTCTTTTCCCCCATAATTTCCTTTTCTTTACCACAAAGGTATAAAAAAAACTTAACCACAAACTTTTAAAAATGTTTTGATGTTTCTTTTGTAACTTTGTTCCATGATGTTAAACACATAGTGATTATTTTTTAAAGTCTTAGTCTTTTCAGTGATCAGTGGTTTCATGGAGGTCAATTTTCAGAATAATCCCATCGTAAAACTGGATATATCCAATTAGCAGATTCCTTTAAAGTTTATTTTAAATTCATATAAGATACATACATCCATTTAAGATGAACATTTTTTTCAAATGGATTGAATTTTCCAAAAGGGGATGTTAAGTATGGATATCTTTTAAAAGCTACCTGTGAGAGATGCCCACACATGATATATTTGAGGGCTTAGTGCTCTCTTGTAACAATGTTTTTGAAACATAAAACTAATGAGAGGGTATGGGGGTCTACCTCAATGGAAGAGCACTTGCCTAGTGTGTGAGGCTCTGTCGGGAGTAAGGGGCAACTGCAGTGAGAATATATAGGAAGCCTGGCATGGGTTGGTTTTTTGGGTTTTTTTTGGGGGGGGGGGTGCTGAGGATTGAACCCAGGGCCTTGTACATGCGAGGCAAGCACTCTAACAACAGAGTATATCCCCAGCCCCCCTGCTTATAATTATTAAAAGCCTCTGGACACTTTGGTACACACCACCTGTAATCCCAGAGTGGCTCAGGAGGCCAGTTTGAGGCCAGCTTCAGCAACTCAGCAAGACCCTGTCTCAACATAAAAAATAAAAACGGCTGCGAATGATTTTTAAGTATGTCTTTGTTGAAATTCCCACAGTAAAGAATGACTCAATTGCCTGTCATGTATGACGCCAATTAAATATTTTTAAAAATAAAATAAATAACTTTGAGACCTGTCTCTAAATGAAGTACAAAATAGGGTTGGGGATGTGGCTCAGTGGTTGAGCCCCCCTGAGTTCAATACCCAGTAATGAAAAAAGAAAAAAAATTCAAATCTCAAGTTTTAGTCATTTATCTTTTTAGTTCCACTGAAATTATTTACAGAGATTCATAGAGAATCATAAATATAGTTTCATGTTTTTCTTAAAACTCATTCCTGAGTTTTCTTACAATTAACTTAATTTCTTCCTATGATTATACTTTTTTAAATAGACTTTTTGTGTACGTAAATGTTTTACTTATTCACAAAAAAGATTGAGGGAAAAAAACAAACTCTAAAACTGGTTATAAAGCTGGGCCGTGATGGCACATGCCTGTAATCCCAAGCACCTCTGGAGGCTAAGGCAGGAGGATTTTGAGTTCAGAGCTAGCCTCAGCAACAGCGAGGTACTAAGCAACTCAGTGAAAACAGTCATTAGGATGTATTTCAAGAACAAATGGAATGACATCTTAACTTAGGTCTGTAATTGGTAGTGTTATTGCTATTGTTAATTCTTAAGCAACTTATTTATATTATAGGATAGGGCAAATGAGTAATATTGTTGTTGGGAAACTATTTTTACTGTGGAGAAGGGAGATACAAATAATGGAAAGGAAAAAGGTGAGAAAGAACTCTGTGGTGTTGAATGTGAATTAAAGGTATGAGTCTCAACTCATTTTTTTAGACAGTTATTTTCTGGCTTTGTTCATAGAAAGCCTGGAAGCAATGCCACCAGAGCAGAGAATACGTAGACCGGCTCCTGGTTTCTAAATACCATTTCCCATTAAAAGGAACCAGGACCCCTTGAAAATAAAAAGAGACACCTGTGGTAGTACATACCTATAATCTCAGCCCGAAGCAACTAGCACAACCCTATCTTAAAATAAAAAGGGCTGGGGATATGGCTCATGGTTAAGCATTCCTGGAACTTTTTTTTTTTTTTTTTTTTAAGAGAGAGAGATAATTTTTAATATTTATTTTTTAGTTTTCGGCGGATACAACATCTTTGTATGTAGTGCTGAGGATCAAACCTGGGCTACATGTATGCCAGGCGAGCGCGCTACCACTTGAGCCACATCCCCAGCCCCTTGTTTTGTTTTTTGTTTTTTTAACAGAAAAATGCTTTCTAATAAGTGAGTGTTAGTGCAGGTTAAGTATCCCTAAGCTGAAATGCTCCAAAATCTGAAAATTACCTTTAAACTGAATGCATAATCAAATTTCATATTTAGACTTGGGTCCCATCCTCAAGATATTATTTATATGCAAATATTCAAAATTTAAAAAAATCTGAAATTCAAAACACTTCTAGTTCCAAGCATGTTAGATAAGGGATACTCAATCTGTATAGATAACCACCATTTTGTAAATTCCAGTATAATAATAAACAAAAATTAGCAGTGGATGCTAAAATCATTGGGTAAAAGGTGTTGGAACAGGATATTAAAATGTTCTTAAAGTATAATTCTTTGCTTACCTACTAATTACAAAGGGAGAGAAATGTTCCTTTATTAGATTTTAGTGGTTACCATCTTAACCAAGTGGTCAAGTTTAGCATTGCATTAGTTAAATAATTTTGTTAAGAATTTTGTGTCTCCTGGGCTGGGATTGTAGCTGAGTGTTAGAGCGCTTGCCTTGCATGTGTGAGGACCTGGGTTCAATCCTCAGCACCATATAAAAATAAAAATAAAGATAGTGTGCCCATCTACAACTTAAAAAAATATATATGTTTTTAAAAAAGAATTTTGTGTCTCCTGATGTGATAATTGATGGGGAAGGGAGGAGTATATCACCTTGATGGTGTTCTTGCTGAAAATACAGAATCTAATGTATTCAGATGATGGGATGTTCTACAAAACAGTTACTGAGATTTGTCAAAGGAAAAACCCAAAGAAAGACAGCAAAACTGTTTTGGACTGGGAGCCTGAAGAGAGGTAACATCCAAATGCAATATGTTATTGGATCTTGAGTCTGAGAAACAATCTAAAGAATATTTTAAGGACCACTGAGGAACTTTTGAGTGTGGGCTAAATGTTGATTGGTATTATTGCTGTTGATTTTCTTAAATGTAGTAATGGTTTTGTTAACCACATAGGAAAATGTCTTTGTTTTGAAGAAATGGTTCTGAAATATTCAAAGGGTGACTGGTCCAATTAATTTGTAACTTATCTGAGGAAAAGACTAGTATGCATTTTGAGAAATAAAGAAATGGAAAAATGGAGTAGGCATGGCAGGATGTTAGCATTTGGTGAGTCTAGAGGAATGTATTAATATTTGATTTTAACATAAGTTTAACATTTTTCAAGATTAAAAATTTTAAATATTTATTTCCTTTTATACTTAATTCTTGGATAGGTAAAATCTGCAGTAGTAACTTTGGTCCATGAATTTCCTAATCCTATTCAAGTTGTAAGATCAGCATTATTTATACAGGCAGTTTTATTTTTTGGTTGTGTGTGTGTGTGTGTGTGTGTGTGTGTTTGTTTTTGACAGTACTGCGGATCAAACCCCGGGGATGCATGGTAGGCAAGTGCCCCATCACAGAGCTACATCCCAGCCCTGTATTATTCTTTTTGAGACTCCTTTCGCTAAATTAAATAGTAGGCTAACATCAGAATCATCATTGTTTTTATTTCTTATGTTTGCTTGGCTTAATATGTATGAAAATTTTAACAGGATCTAACACATACCATCAGTGTAGTAACTATTTCTGTCCCTCCTTAAGGACTGTACCTCCATTTGGGGTATTTGTGATAGTATAATATCTATTCCTTGTAAAAGCTTTTATCTTTTTTGAGATGGGGTCTCACTGAGTTGCTTAGGGCCTCACTAAGTTTCTTTTTTCTTTTTTTTCTTTTTTTTTTAAATTTTTTGTTGTTGTTGTTGTTATAGTTAGACACACTACCTTTATTTCACTTATTTATATGTAGTGCTGAGGATCGAACCCAGGGCCTTGCACGTGCTAGGCAAATGCTCTACTGCTGAGCCAAAACCCCAGCCCCCTCACTAAGTTTCTGTGGCTAGCTTTGAACTCGTGATCCTCCTGCCTCAGCCTCCTGAGCTGCCAGGATTATAGGCATGCACCACCACACCGGGCACTTTTATCTTATTAAGTATGTATTATTATTAATATTATGGTTTGCAGTTCAGTGTTGTTTGATTTTTGCAGTGCCAGACTATTTTTGAATGGTTGGTTTCCATATTGATAAAGATATTTGTGGCGTGGCTAATTAGGAAACTATATATTAGAAATTGCTAAATAAATAAAATTAGCATTGATCAAGGTGGTAGATGTTTTTAGCAAAAAGAATTAATTCAGATATAGTTTGTGTTGGAACAAATAAAGCCAGATTTTAATCTAAGCCTCCTTTTTTTCAGTTGCTAATACTCTGATTTTTAGAAGGAAGATTAAATGAATTAGGATTACTGTATTGCTATGTGATGAGGAAAGTCTTTTCCATTAAAATTTTCATATACAGATGCTCCTCAGTTTATTATAGGCTTATATCACAGTAAACATTAAGTCAAAAATAGTGAGTCAAAAATGCATTTAATACACCTACCCTACCAAACATCATAGGTTAGCTTATCCTACCCAAACATATTCACAACAGTTACATTCACCTATAGTTGGGCAAAATCATTTACACAAAGCCTGTTTTTTTGTTTTGTTTTGTTTTTAATACTTTATTAGTTATTGATGGACCTTTATTTATTTGTTTATATGTGCTGCTGAGAATTGAACCCAGTGCCTCACACATGCTGCACAGGTGCCCTACCACGACCCCAGCCCACAAAGAGTGTTTTATAATAAAATGTTAGATACTTTATATACACACAGAGATGGGCATTTAGACATACTGGGATGGGAAGACACAAAATTAAATATCAAAAAAAAATTGACAACACCATACACTGTAGAGTATGGGTGATTTACTCTTGTGATCAGAGGCTGACTGGGGGTTGCAGCTTGCTGCTGCCACTCAGCATCATAAGAGAGTGTCATTGCATCTGGTAACCTGAGAAAATATCAAAATTCCAAGTACAGTTTCTTCCGAATGAGTACGCCT